GCGTAAAACTGCTGGACTGCTCCAAGCCAAGTACCCCCCACCCTGTCCCTTGGCATTTAAGTGAAAATCTTGTTTCTGTTCAGCCTCGTTTGCGTTAGCCTGTTTCTCCTGTGGGATATTAGCTACCCCAACCATCTGCAAATCTGATAAGCATCCCATCCCAGACGCTACTGAAAATACGGAAGAGTTGAAGACCAGGACCGCCCCTCGTGCTTCCCCCCGGTTGCCCCTTCAGCGAGCAGCCGCAGCTGGTGCTTGTGAGGTCCGGTTGCGGCTAGGAAGCGGGCTGAGGACGGTCTTTGGACCCAGCTCGGCGAAGAAGCCGTCCCAGGGCGCGCTCTCGAATCTCGGGGGGCTCAGTGCCAGCTGGGCCTGGGCAAGGGCTCGCCCCGGCGCTGCCTGTGTCTCGGCCTGGCTGAGGCAGGCAGTCCTCACCCAGAAAGCCTTCGCTGCTCCGCAATCTAGAGTGTCTCTCTTTGAGAAATCCTCCTCCTCGGCCTTCCAGAAAGGGTTTAAGAAACCGCTTTCACGGTTAAGAATATATTTCAAATTTGGTCACTGCCCATCTCTTTGGCCCCGGGGCCTTTGACCGGGTTCAGTGTTTCCATTAGGCTGTTCTAGGCTGGACCTTGGGTGGTGGGAGTGAAACTGCAGAGGCCGAATCCAGGCAAGATCCAGATAACCTGGGGGGGTCTCAGTCTAGCTTCGGCCCGCAGACCAAGGCCGTTGGGGTGGGGGCTGCCTCGGGGAGAGGGTGATGTGGCTGCACTGTGCCTCCCGTGCCCCTGCATTGCTTCCTTGTGGGAGGAAGGGTCTGGTCGTGGGAGGCAGCCAGGGCGGGATAGGGTGTTGCTGGACTTTAGCAGGCCTCGGGGAGAGGCAAAGTCCAGGCCAGTGGGCTGGGTCTGCTGGGGCTCAGCAGTGGGGCTCCAGGCCAGCTGTGTGCGCGCACACATCGGTGATCCTGTGCTGGCTGCTGCTGCTGCAGCCTTTTTCCCTCCCCAGGCTCAGCTACCTCTGGCAAAGACCTACGGCTACGTGGGGCAGCTCCTTGGTCCGCCGTCCACGTTGGGGGATTCTCGGCGGGCCAGCACGTTCTGCTGCTTTCTTGGAGTTCACGGCCTTGTGTTTCTTTCGCCCTTTTTCAGGATGTGCTGGTGAAGGTTGTCCGCTATGAAGGCTTTTTCAGCCTGTGGAAGGGCTTCACCCCGTACTATGCCCGCCTGGGCCCCCACACCGTCTTGACGTTCATCTTCCTGGAGCAGCTGAACAAGTTCTACAGGAAGTTCTTTCTCGGGACCTGAGGGCCTGTCTCCCTGATGCCCCCCCACCTATGGCAGATGAAAAGGCAGGGGCCCCCCCTCTCCTGTCCCGCCAATCACGAGGACGGACTGACTCCTCCCAGGAGCGGAGGGCGGACGTTATTTATTGAGGAAGGGGATGTGCTTGGGCCCCGGGCCCGCTGCAGGGGTTGCCGCAGAAGCAAGCGGCCGCTTAATTTTGCTTTCAACTGAGTAAACGCGATCATGGTCTG